CGACTTGCTGTGCGCGTTTTGGCTTCACGCGATGAGAAATTCTTCCCGATCCCCTCGCACGTGGGGGAATTCCAAATCTTTTCCTTTCGAGACTGTTATTCGCAGCGGCCGTGGGCCGTGTCCGGGCGACCGGGCGTGACTTTGAGAGTCGTGATTGTGATACCGAGGAACGTGGTTTTTTTTATTGGAATATTCTCGCTTTCGCGCGGCAGATTTATGCGCTGCGCCGTGCGTGGCTGGCGACGACGACGACGGGTCGTGCTAGCCCATGTGCCCCGGGCTCGAGCACTATTTCCCTTTTTCTAGTTCGTTAAATTAATTAAATATTTGATTCATCGGTTAGATATCGATTTAAAAAAATTCAATTACCACAAACAACTATTCGGTGTTTAAAATTGTTTTAAAAAGGACAAAGACCACCAAAAAATCCCAAACTATACCACTTGTGATAAATTTACCCTGAATTTTTTTTTGTGGGCCAAAGTATTGTGGGATAAATGTGTCACGAGTGGCATAGTTTTGAATTTTTCGTGTCACAAAAAAAAGTTCAGGATAAATTTGTCACAAGTGGCATAATTTGAGGTTTTTTGTGGTCTTTTCCCTTTTAAAAAATACATAGAAACAATCGAGTTTAAGAGAACAACATGGCACAGAGCATCCCTGGCCAGGCCTAGCACACTGGCTGGCATGGCCCGACACTTTTATGACATTGGGCTCATCCCAGCACGACGTGCCTTAAAAATTGAAAATAATTCTTGAAAAGCCAGTTTGCACGCGAAGATTGATCTCTTGGCATACATAGTATACTGTTATGAACAGACCTCTCATGTGTGGCAATGTTCGTAGCAATTGGGGATGAGCGGTTCTAGGTTCCTTAGAGGTTCCACCTGGAATCTAAGGAACCTGGAACCTACCATCAGGTAAAGGTTCTTCATTTTTTGGAAATTAAAACCTACCCGTCGGAACCTGGAACCTACCATGTGTTCCAAGGTCTACTTAAATTTCACCTGTATTATTAATTGAATAATTACAGTGAATCATCACATTTAGTAACCACCACTTGCTGCTACGATCTATTAATCACAACTTATATTTAGACACACGAAGAATATGAAACATTAACAAATCATAAAATGAAAGTTCAAACTAGCGGTTCCAGATTATACACTTATCATCTAATATCGTGGAACACCTCAAGATCATACGAAGATATAAACCAAGAAAAAATAAAAAAAACTTGTTTTTGGAATCTCGAACCTACCTGTTGAAATAGATTTTCCAATTTTTAGAATCTGAAACTTACCCCGCGTGCCTTGGAACCTGGAATCTATAGGTTCCCATTAGTCAGATTTACAGGTTTCGAGTTCTATCCTGAAATCATGCTCACTCCTAATAGCAATCGGTATTTCGATAATTGCATTATCAAAAGTAACGAACAATATTGTGTCCGAAATTCCATAACTAGTAATCGTTATCCTAATTACCACACACAACCTTAGCCTGATTTGTGGGGATATGAATGCCTCTCAAACGACAGAGCACAGTGGCGAGTACAGAAGTTACATGAGAGTGAAAGAAAGGAGAAATGGACATAGCTTATAGTAGCCCCTATGGCCTCTTCAACCTTCTTTCGAATGATTGATTGTTGTAGGCAATATGGTTCATGTGCTGTCCGGAACTGGACCGTGCATCAATCACTATACCAATAATAGACATGCTTGCATTCCTGGTACACGTTAAGGCTTCCCTAAAATGAGCATGCAATCTCTTAGCTAAATTTGACCAAACCTCAGATTCAGAATCAGATAGGTGACCAGTAATTCATCCATTCATGCCCCAGCTCGCGGATTGGTTAGCGGCCTACTACGGCCCGATAGGCCTAGAGCCTGTTTGATAATCACGCCACCAACTGCAAAGACGGGTATTGAGTCAATTGGAGGACATCCCCGTAAAACTTCCTAAAACTGTTCTGTGCCTCCTAACTTATGAGAAGTTTCTCATCGTGTCCATATCGATGGCAATCTAGTAAAAACGATTCGGTACCATTCCCATATTGAAACTTAAGGTAAAATGACAAAGCATGTTCGCGCGCTCGCTCTTTATTTGAGCATATCTATGCGCATAATCTCTGAATCGGTTTTCGAGCTCCGCGAATCGATAATTACACGAATCTGTATAGGTCGTCATTTCAATACAAAAGATTGGATCTGAATCTGATCGACCCCCGATGGATCTGAGTCAAACGCGACACACCCATTGCTCAGCACCTTATAAATATTCAGAAATAATTGGATGAGTGCGGTCCAGTTCATTGGTCCAACTCGGAAGGCAAAAGGCTTTTTCGTCTCATATCTTACCAATCGTTTCCCCCATTCCAACGAGAAAAAGACAAGCACGACCGAAGGACTTTAAGGCCTTGTTTTCACGGAGACAACGCGAGGAAACGAAGACCGAATCTTACGGCAACGTTGGTGTGAACTCCCGTGCGCATATATTGTTGCGACATTAAGACAAAGAGCAGCCTGAATCCGGCCATTGACTCGGCTCTATTGCCGGTGCCTTTTTTTTTTTTTTTTTGGGACAGAAAAAAAGAGTTTGAATCACAGCTTTTTGATGCCTTTATTTTGCAAAAATACATTGTTTGGAAAATATTTTTTTAAATATGTAAATGAATGAACGAAAAATATTTTTATCATTTACAAAAGGGCTAATCCATGAAAAACTCTAGCTGGTATATCCGTGATAAATTTGCAATAAACTAATTTTTTGATAACAAAAAACTCCAAACTAATACACTTGTGACAGATTTACCCTCCGTTAGTTTCCGTTAAATTTTACCGTCAAATTGTTGAGTTGGATGACACGAGTTTGGGGTTTTACCCTCCGTTTTTTATAGGTGTATCGATTTGTGATTTTCCGTGGTATTAATCCAATTTAACGGAACTATGGGAGTCTAGTTTTGGGTTTTTTATAGCCAAAAAATTAGTTTAGGGTAAATTTATCACGTGTGTACCGGTTTGAGATTTTTTTTTGTCAAAAAATCAGTTTTTGGTAAATTTGTCACGGGTTGTTTCGATTAGGGATTTTCGTGATATTAATTATTTATAAAAAAATATAATAAAAATATTTTTATTGACTAATTAATTCAAACGATATTTCTTTTTCAAAACAATCGGAGTTGTTAGGCGAGAATACTCGATGAGTCTCGAAGTTCGGCTAAGCAACTGAAGTTTGACTCGAGCTAACGCTGCCAAGTGGCAAAAGATTGGTGGCAAGGCAACCTACGTTTGGTAAGTCCACTTTGGTTCAACACGAGCAAACCTTGGAAAGTAGACCTCCACGTTCTTAATCAAATCACAGGCCCTCGTGACTCACGAGATCGATGATTAAAATATCGAATTAGAAAATAAAATAATTTTAATTTTCATTGTAAACTTTTTTTTATTGGGTGCAATCGATTTCTTTTTTTCAAAAAAAAAAAAAGGAGATTGGCCCGGCTTCTTTTTTCCCGGTCCGGGTCGATTCACTTCGGGCCTGACCGGAAACAGCTTACGTTAGAGAATCACCAAAGAGAAAACCCTTTGCCGGTCCTTTTTTTTTTTTTGTCCTTCATCGAAAGTAACATCTAATCCAAATACCAATCTCGCATTTCACGACTATAAATCAAATCAACAAATTTTCAAAATAATGATCTCTAATCCGACACACTTGTTGATCGCGCAAGCTCTTCAAAACAACAATCGCAAATTCAAAATCAAACCCAGTAGAACAATCCTCCTTAAGATGGGTGATATAATACAGCCGCAACATAAAACAACAAAAAAAGCTCAACCGTTCACTCGTGGGACAAAAATGTCGGGCCACCCATTACGCATTTCCGTCCATTCTCATGCAGGCTGCGTCCGATGTCAATAATTATTGCGTGAATTAGTTTACACTTTTGACTAATCAAATGCTGGTCGCGATCATACTATTTTAACATAAGCTTGTTGGTGAAATCAATAGAACACTTTCGCTCTTGAGATTTTATTGAAAATCAAGTCTAGGTTAAAGCAACACGAGCATTTATCACTCGTTGGCTATGATGGGCTTCTTCGTTTTCTTTCGCTTGCCATTGCAATTCGGCCCACGCCTATAAAGCCCAAACGATGTTTGGCGATTACTGGGGGGGGGTGTTGGTGTTAAAATATTTTTAATAAAAAGTTTTTTTTTTTTTTTTTTTTTTTTTTTTTTTTTTTTTTTTTTTTTTTTTTAATTTTTTTTTTTTTTTTTTTTTTTTTTTTTTTTTTTTTTTTTTTTTTTTTTTTTTTTTTTTTTATTTTTTTTTTTTTTTTTTTATTTTTTTTTTTTTTTTTTTTTTTTTTTTTTTTTTTTTTTTTTTTTTTATTTGTTTTTTTATTTTAATTTTTTTTTAGATCTCCACGGACGTGAACGAGCAACTTACCAATTGGTCCGACACCTTCCCAATTATTAACGCCGGCAAACCTTATTCACAGATGCTTTGCTTTTTTCCGATAATTACTTTAAGAAGTTGATCTCCATCATATTCGAATTCACCTTCTCCGAAAAACCCACGAGCGCGCCCACACCAAATGGGTTAGGCAAAGGATTGACCTTTTCGGTTTTGTTATAAATGTACCGAATATATTCACCTTGTACTAAATCGATTTGCTTTTACCGGTTGAACCAATCAAATTATGCGCAACGATTGATCGTGCGATATGGCGCTCCAATGCTTCTTTAATGGTCCAAGGACGGGGCCTTATGCTTAAGGGGGACTCAAACCCATCGTCCGTCCGAACGCTAATCAATTCCGAGTTGACTCGAAGGGGCCTGATTAGCTGTCCAATTCTAGTCCTCCCAATCGCCCATCGCTTTGACATTCGCCGTCACGTGATCGTAAAACTCGAGACCCGACGCAGAAAAACGAACGTGATCTCTCTCCTTTTTGTTCATCTTTATTCTTATTTTTCTATTTCTCTCCCGTTCGGTCAGATCTCTGTATTGTTTATTCGTTCAGCGCACGTTGACTTTGCATTGGAGCGCGGGTTCGCTTAAATTCCCCACTCCACCGAAGGCAACCCAGCAAAACGCAAGCTGCCACCTCCGTATTATACGGTCACTGTTCATCTCTCTCTCTCTCATTCATTTGATGCATGTTCTCTGGGAGCAATAGCTGGGCTTCATCTCTGCTGGGTCGTCGTCTCGCAGCGTTACTTTTCCTTCTCTGGGTGTGGCTTCGCAGCAAGTTTTTCGGTTCTCGTGTGCAGTCGCAGGTGGGGTGATTGCAACTCTGTTCCTTTGCTTCTTCACTCTGTTTATGGAGTCGAGTTTGTCGCGGCAACAATGCCTGGCGTTGTTCTTTTTCCCTTTTCCGTTAGTGGGGTTGTAGGAGAAGGTGTTGGTCGCATTGGATGTAGATTGTGCGTTGTGGCTGATGTTGGGTTTGTCTCGTTCGCGGGCTGAACTTGTTCCTTGTATCCAAATGGGCGGGACTCAAAAAGTAATTTTTCATTTCCATTTGATTGTTTCCTCGGCTCACACTGGACTAGGTGTTCTTGGGAAAAGAGCGAAGATTTTTTCTTTATCCATCTTGTGATAGAATTCGCTCCGAAACAAAATCCTGAAATGGAATCGGTCGGGACATTGTTGTGCTGAAAGCCTGAAACCATACACCGTTTGTATGTGCTCACGAGAAGGACATTCGGGTCGAGTAAGAAAGGATTCGAGTCCATTCGGTATTTCCTAATAACCTTGTTATGCTAAGTGAAGATAACGAAAATGATGGATTCTTCTCCCGCGATAGCCTGCTTACTGTTGTAATGAGTTTGTTCTTTTTCCCGCAAAGCCGAACGCAGCTGTGGTTGAGCTTCTGGAATATGAACATGTATTTGGAGATTTGGTGGTCGTAGTGTGCAGTGAATTGTTTGAAATTACCAATTGCCGGAGAAACATAAAAAGGTTAACTTCTGAATATTTCAATTCCTCAGCATTCGTCTCCAGTTCTTTCTTCGTTTCTTTTTTTTTTTTTTTAATTCATCACTTGTCTGATTCGCGTCTTCAGCGAGCTCTTTGACATTCATTTCCATATCAACTCTTTGCAGAAAATATATCTGAATAGAAAATTGTCATGGAAGATAGGCAACTGAATTACAACCAGCCGCTCCTTTCTACGAGGCGGTTCCCATCGACCCCAACTTTTTCAGGAGGAGCTAAAGATCAGGGCATGAGGGGCGATCCTCTTGCCAAACTCCCTCCTCTTCCTCCTGCATACAGATCAGAGCTAAAGTCAGGGCCGATAAGTAGTCCAGGAACAGTGCCATTTACGTGGGAACGGAGCCCCGGGAGGCCCAAACATGAGCGCACTATGCAGATCCAAACTCTTAGACCACCTCCTGGCAGCCCCAAGCTTTCATCGGACAGAACAATGAATGTTAAAAAGCAGTCCTTGGACAAAGTCTGTGACAGTAACCGCAATTTTCTATCCCAAAGAGTAAATGTCGTCCCAAATGATGCATCAAAAGGAGGAGAAGCAGCAGCATGCGAGGGCTCTAAGAAGGGTGTTTCGGAGGAAGGGGATGAGGTCTATGTCGATGCACAGGATACTCTTTCTAGGACTGAGTCATTCTTTTTTAACTGCAGTCTCAGTGGTATAAGCGGGTTGGATGGTCCAGACAATGGAGCATCTGGGAAATTCTCAACAAATCCAGAAATGCAGGATTTCATGATGGATCGTTTCTTGCCTGCAGCACAAGCAATGGCATCGGAAACGCCTCCACGTCCTACTAGGAAGCAACCTCTGAAAAGAGAGCAACCAAAGTTTGTTAACCGGGCTATAAATGTGGTTAAGCAGCAGCGAGAACAGCATTACAGGCCGCCTGCTATATCCCATTATGCCCCTGAATTAATAGGTGTGGATAACCGAGGTGCTGATGATGATGATGATGATGGTGGTGAATATGATGAGCCCGAAAAGTCATCTTTCAAAGGCTGTGGGTTGCTTCCTCGCTTTTGCCTGAAGTCATTTTGTCTCTTAAACCCAGTGCCAAGTGTCAAGACACAGGCTGCTGGACATGTTTCATTAGCCCATAGGGTGCAAGCTAAGTCTTCACGTAATGTTTCTAGCAAGGAAAGAAGCAGTGAGGTATGATTCTTGGTTTTTTCATGTCGAAAATTTTCATATCGACTCTACTCCTCAAAATGTGTGTTTGATGTTGGCTGTCTTCTCCATTGCAGCACGCTTGTGATTTAGTAAGCCAGCAAAGATATGTCAATCGACATCCAGTGCCTGGGATTCAAGATGATAAGCTCATGCCGAATAGCAAATCAAGCCCAATCAACAAAATGACTTGCATAAGAGAATCTCCGAGAGCAGATCGGCCATTCGAGAGCAGGAATTTTCAAGGAGTCAGCAGTGTACACTTCAAGATTGAATCATCTCATCCAATTCTTCAAGAAGAGAGAAAATTTTGTGGGAATACTAGGTCAACTGAGAACTCAAGGGTGGACGACTTCGTTCCTCCAGGAAAAGCACTCCCCAGCTTTCGACAATTTCTTATTAGTGAGGATAATGAAGGGGATACTGGCTTCACAGCTCCCTCAGTTGAGAAGACTTTGTATGTTGACCGTGTACATGTTATAAGATCTCGTAATTCAGATACAAGTTCCCCTGATAAAACAGGAATACCTGACTTCAGACGAGATGAATTTGCAGCTGATGAACTGAACTATAAGGTCCAAGAAGCTCATTCTGTTGACTTTTCAGCCGAGGAAGACAAGTATTCGAGTGCTTTAGATGAAACGGAGACGGAGCATGAAAGATCGGAGTCCACCGATTCCATATCACACTTTCCTCACCATAGATTTAATGAGGATACACAAATTGATGTCAACAGGCGCAGACAGAGCAATGATGTGAAAATAACCCATGAAGTCTGCGGTGATGGGAAGAGTGATCTAGGAAGCCAGTTTTCTTTGAGATCTGGCGACCGTAAAAATTCTTATGACAACGGTTCAGATCTCCCCGTTCCCCCACAATTGCCACAGTGCCCATCAGAGTCTTGGCTAAACCGTACCTTGCCATTTACATCCTCTAGGAACTTGTCTACACGATTTTCCCTAGGTTTGCTTGATTCTGACGGGTCAAAAGCTTCCAACTTTTGCAATATTAGTTCCAAGAGGGAAACAACTGTCAAAAAGTCTGATCAAACGAGGGGCATTTAACTCCTCACAGGGCATTCGGTGAGCACTGTTGATAGTCATGCTTTACCGTTTGCATTTTCTTGTTCATGTTCTATTCCTTATTTCATCAGGGATTACTGGAGCTTGTGCCCCAAGGCTAACATTGACCTCATCTAAATTTCATGCATGTATTGTTCAGTGCGGTCTCACTCATTGAAGACCTATTCCTGCTTTTATGTCCTGCTCTGACCTATCGCTCAAGTTAGTTGCTCTGTTCTATAAAACTGTTTGCTTACTATCATCGAATAATAAAATTGACATGATATGTCTGTTTTTCCCTGCAATGCATGTTTCAAGGGGTAACTTAATGGTCATTTTCATCTCTGAAGTTGCCATTTTTCATTCATTGCTAGAAATAGAGCAGAATGTACTGCCTGGTTTGTCTGCAATATTTGTTTGTACTTGCTTAGGTGAAGTGAGAAGAGTTTCAGGCCAATCCACAAAGTATCTCTTACTGTGTTGTGTTCATCCTGCAGACTCCTCCCTGCAAAATTATCCACATAGCTTGCCGTCCACCTTGGTATATATAAAGCCTGATGTCAACCTTGTGCAATTAAGCGCTGGTTGCCTGGAGAGAGTCACATTCTTACAATTTATATGGTAACTTATGCAAGTAGGGCTTTGGCCTGTTGGAAGGGAACCGATTGTTCCAAAATAAAAGTATACCTGCCTGTTATATTCTTGTGCGATCGTTTGTTAGTACTAAAGTATCACAATCGCGAGAAATTATTGTCTACAGTCATTCTTTTAAGGCAAAGCCAAATAAATTATGTATCAAGAAATATTTCTTTGGTTGCAAGGCAGTGGTAGGCACTGCTCCTTTATTCAAACTTTTGTTACTAGGGTTAGAAGCTTAATTCCCCTAGTATACCTATTCATTTACCTCGCGATGCAGTACTTACACGGAATCACTTATTCCTTTTGTTAGTTTGGGGATCTTTTCATAGCAAAATCATAAATTAATATATCGGCTTGCACTTTTTTTGGATGTCAGAACAAATATATAAGTTTTCATGGTTGTCGCCGTTCTTTATTTTCTTGAACGGTCTTAGTCCTTGCATCATTCAGTTTTAGTATCTTATTATGTTTATGGTTAGGGTTTCAAAGTAGGCTTGGGGTACAGTTTGGTGATCCTAGCTTTCGGCAAACCTTCTAGATTGGTTATGACACTACTACCAGCACCTGGTTAGTTTACGTTCTATATTGGCTCATTAACTGATATTGATGCAGTGCATATTACTTTTTCCTTAGAGAGCTTGGACTGTCTAAGATATCAGAACTGCGACAGTATGAGGGATACTGACTTGAAGAGTGTTCTTGCCTTGAACAGATAAATCCGTTTATTACACAAGCAATAAACATGTTAATCCCAGGTAGGTCGTCGAGTACCTCGGAAACCCGCCAAATTCGCTTAAGCTCTAAGGATTATAAAAATTAAGCTGTAGACATTAGATTAGCCTAACAAATCAATTGGAGGGGCAAGAAGCGATGCAGAACATGCTGCGATTTAACATGACATCAAACGGAAACATTGCATGTAATGAAACTCTCCAATATTTTGGCCATTGAGTTCGAGTACTACACAAGATCTCACTCCTCTGCTCATTGACATGGTCAGATCTTGAGTACTCAACCCAAAAGCAGCCTAAAGCACGAACACGATCGATTTGCTTTTCTTCACAGATTACAGATAAATACTCTTCGATTCTTCACGGTACTTTTTCTTGACTCGACGAACATGGGGAAGCCAAGGAGAGCGAGAGAGTCGTATCTGCTTCTTTCCTTCTTAGTTCGTCTAAATTTCTGACAAACTCGTTGCGGCTAAGACTCAACTGTAGATCGGGCAGCCATTTCTTCTCTTTCGCTCTTTCCAAACACGGACTCGCATCTTCATTGTTGAGCTGCATTCTTCTCTCTTGCAATCTCCGGAACTGTTCAATCACTCGGAAACCACATTGATCAGTATTTTATCAATCAATCTACATATGTAAATTGCCGAAACAAGGCACAATTTAATATTCTTGAGATAAAAAAGAACTCTTCACGGCTTAACTTTAAAAGTAATCTTCACAGGATGAGACTTAGAAGCACCTCATCGAAAATTTCGAAAGAACAAAATGAAGGAGGAAATTACTCTCATTAATTCAAACGACAAGATATTCTTAGGTACATTAGTGTAATGGAAAAGCTTGTAAAAGTATGCACGTAGATAACCATGCCAACTAGAAGTTTATATTTTCCGAAAATATTTATTTTCCCTGGTAGTAAGACTAGCATTATGTTGTGAGAATGACAACAATAGTTGATGAATCTAGCTAACATCTACCACGATATGTGCATCTTTTTCACAGCTTGTGACTAAGATGATAAACATATATGCATTTCACATATGGAGAGTATTTGAAAATTAGCAAGGACAACGAATTATTACCTCCAGCCGAGACGAGGGTTCAAGCTGAGATTTACCAACAATATCACCAGCCGATGATGAGATGTGCATGTGAGTGCATGAATTGGTTTGGTTGAACTTGTTCATGGTGCTCCATATTGATGAAGGCTGTGCAATACTACTGTTAAAAGCATCGTCCAGATATATGTTTGAGCAACTCCTTGTTCTAGTAACATGGCTCCCAATGAATTCACGCGGAGGCCATTTCTTCTCCTCGAGAAACCTGCTCGGTCTCATGATTCCCCTCATATTATTTCTCATCAACCCATCGGCTTTCATGCTGAACAACGATGTCATTGAACCATCCAACTTGTGCCTGTTCTGAAACGCAGCGGCTGAACTTGCAAATAGTGTAGGGCTCGTCGTTTGGTCGGCCAAATTAGCCCAGGGTTGGGCATATCTAGAGGAAGGAAAGGCAAAAAGAATAAAGATGTTATTTCGATTCGTTAGCTACGTTTAACAATTTTAAGTAATGCAAAGTAAGTAACGAAGTCTTATTCTTGGTCTTGAAAAGACTAGTCGATGCTTAGAACTATGTAATGCGAATGGTTTTGATGAGTATATACCTAGTGGAATTTGCTTTGAAGTCGAGTGCGTGCTTAAAAAATGGCGAGAGAAAAGGGCTTCGACTGTCCTTTCGGTAGCTCTCGTGAGAACTGAATCTTCCATAGATTTCTTGAATCTGGTGATGATCTCTTCCTTGTAGCACGCTTGTTAGAGATAGAACTGCTTATAAGATGTAAGAGAGCATTCGATCATGTACTCTACTTAAAAGATTGGTGGGAATGCAATGGTGAATGACAGGTAGGAGCAGACTAGGGTAGACGCGATCTCGAGAATCGCCTAGTACTTAAACTGAACTAAAAGCTGATAGACAAAATCATTCACGATGTTAAGAATAAAGTTAATGAAGTCATGAACATAGAGTCTTTAGTAGTTCGTACATTCTATGAACATATTTACTGAATTTAACTTAATTAAGTCAACGTTGCTATGTTTGGATAATTAGAATGATGCTGAAGGTGGAGATTGCCTTAAGGGATTTGATGATGTTATATGCTCAGACCCATAAACAAGATCACCTCGATGATTTTGTCGGTTGAAGAAGTTTGACCTCTATATTTTGCTCATACGATTATAACGACAAAGCAAACTGTTATCGGGTAGACCTACTTTACAACACTTCTTTCATTTTATTCTCACTTCTCACTGTCCTCCTAGTTGAAAACACATCCAAGGGAAATCTTCTTCTATCTGCGGCCACTTCTGCACCATAAGCTAGAGATGAGCCTTTTTCAGGTTGAATCCTAATTCCTACCTAGATAACCATACTCATGTCGACCCACGACGTCGATATTCTTATAAATTTTATGAACTTATTTGAACATTATTTCAAAACTTCTAAAGTAAATTTCGTGCTTAACATGTATGTCTCTTCTACAAGTTCCAAAGTAAACCCTATACTATTAATTTAATAGCGACTAGATTGTACTTTCTAAGTACCATAGAAACTGATATGATAATGGTATTAAAATACAACCAACATTCAAGAAGCGACTAGAACATGCAAATGTAAATCAAATAAATGAGGACAAAACAGTTCGCAACATAAAGTACGACACAACCATAGGCATTTTCAGAGAGAGAGAGAGAGAGAGAGAGAGAGAGAGGAAACTAAGATTGAGCAAATTTGAAAGAGAATGATACCCATGAGAATGCAATTTATGTTGCAGAAATTAAACTGCTAATCAAGTGAAGTTCCAAGTTTACCTTGCCCAGATTCGTCGAGCTTCTTACTTCGGTACATCTGAAATAAAAGGGGAAAAAAGTTGCGGGACTCGAAAGTTAAAACACCGAAAGTCGAAAATTAATATAATGCAAAATGACTTGGTTTAGGGCACGAATCAAGAAGATAAAATAGCTTCTTTTTTCCATGTCTTAGCCTTGGCGTACCTGCAAGTGACTCTTTACATGGGCAATGCTGAGTCCTCTCACGTTCATCAACTGAAGCACCAATTTTGGAGTTGCTTCTGTTCCCATCAGCACCAAGAGGGAGAAAAATACAAATCAGGCTCCTAGGACATAGCAATGAGACAGTTTCCCATGAAGTCGCTAGGGTTTGTGTGCCTCTTTTTTGTTTTATTCACGATTGATTTGACCGTATTTAATAGTCACTTTATAATGAGACACTTAAATAATGCTTCAAAAATGAAAAGGAAAAATAAGTCTTAACTGCGGGCGATTTTCTTACTACTTTGGTTCCTTTTCTTCTTTTTGGAAATGTACGATACTTAGAAGATCCTTAAAGAAGTTTATTTGACCTTTATTTAACCTAAACCGATGGTGTAAAGCTCCTAATTAATAGGGCAAACTTATAAACATTAACTATAGGAAAAAAAGAAAAAATTGGGCTTGCATTTTTTTCATGATCATGATTAGCTCTTTCTATCCCATCAAAATTAATAGAATGATTTCATCTGATAAATTAGTGATTTCATTTAGAGTAGGGTGAAAGTCCTAGCAGTTCTATATGTTTTTACACTGAAGAACCGCACAATTGAAAACTGAAGAACTTATTAGTAATCAAAGTTGGTCAGTGCATCTGAAAAATTGTTCTCTTATTAGTGGAGTTGTTTCCCTTTGCCCCAGCTAGGTGAACCCTAGCCTCCATTTGCTCTTCCTTTTTCCTATATGCGTTCCTTTTTTTTTCCCCATTTAGGACTGGTATTTCCAAATTCTAGGGTTTTATTTTGGGGAATTGTGTTCCACACAAGAAGATGCACCCGTATGTGCTATCTTCCACGCAAAAGTTCAAGACCGCTCATACATGAAAATGGAAGCTAAACAAACGAGACTTACTTTCTTGGCCTCCTAGCCTTTCAACTGCATGCACAAAAGCAAGGTGGAGCTCTGGAGTCCAACGAAGCCTCGGCATTTTGGACCGCATGTATTGCCGAACCGTCGCCGTTCTCTCTTTTCCCTCGTCGCTCGAGCAGTTGTTATTACCGCACGAAGAATCAACCTTTGGTGATGCCGCCTCGTCAAGATTATTTTCATTGTCGGACAAAGAGTTAGCATCCTCATCAGCACTGAGACCATTCTCATCATTTTCCATATCTGCAGCTTCATTCAAGTCAAATGACAAGCATTTCTGATCACAACTGTCTATTGAAGAGTTGGTTTTGTATTGAACATCACTGAATCCTCCATCACTCTTATCTTCATTTGATATTTCAATCCTATCGCGAGTCATTGTTAGATACACGTTTGATAAGTACGATTATGTATGTATAAGTGTATTTGTGGTAGAGGATCAAGGTCTAGCTTGAACCCTAGCTTCCGGGGCCAGCTATTGACCTGTTGAAAGAAACAAGTATATTAGGTGATTATATGTTTAGAACAAAATATAAATAGCAAGAGATGGTGCATGAAAGATCAAGATAAATGTACTTAAAATTCAAAAACAGAACAGAGATTTAAGTAGCTAGATGACCAAAGTCACTCAAGCGCATTCACTTGCTAATAAGGAGGAGCTCAAACTACCAATTGGTAATCCCATAATATACTATGGCATTGCTCTACATTGTTCTCCACTGACTTCTTGTTCCGGTACTTGTATTCTTCTGCCAACTTCTCTCTTGGAGTCATTGAGTTAAAGAAGATAAGCCATTACCCTTAAAACCTCAATGTTCAATAACTTAAAGGGGCCAAGACTTTTATACCGTGTGCCCCGATGAACTTCTCTTTTGCACAAGCGGTCTTGAGATCGAGACACGTCTAGTCATCTACAAGGAAGTGTTTACTTAGCATAAAAGTGGACATTTATTTCACGATCTCAAGAACTACTCGTGCAATCAAAATGTTAGACGGGCAGCATTTATAAGATTAATTTTTGCTACTATCTTCCCTCTTAATATTATTTCAGTTACCTATAGCTCATTTTGTCACATCCTTATCATGGGTTTATGTGTCCATGATCAGCTAATAATACTACTTTAATGACTAGCTCAGTTTAGCACATATCTCAATGGTCTTCTCTCTCTCTCTCTCTCTCTCTCTCTCTCTCCATACACACACATATACAGAGTTAAGGCCTTGGTTCCAAGGTACATAGGCTGAACTTGCTGAGTGAGCTAACCCCTTGGAATAATCTGATTAGTAGATATTAAAAGGTAATGGATGGAAACAACTTACAAAATGAGCATCAAGATCATACTTTGAAGTACCTTGACTTTATTGGGACATTTTTGAAAGCGGGGGGAAAGATGAAAATTTGATCAACACCTTTTCTTTGCTAACATGAGTTAAGGGAGGGATTAGTGAGGTTAGAAGCAATATACGGTTACTAAGTAAGGATGACTTCTACCAACTAAATGAACTATTTGCTCACAGATTAACCATTCTGTGCACACTCATTTTTGCATTTGAATTGTAACTAAAACACTACTTTTCTTTCTAATATAAGAAGGATCTCGTAATTAACATTTCAATTAGTCAGATGGTTGACAAACATTGATATAAGTGGTATTAAGAAATAGCCAAATGGGAGAAAATGCGCTAATCAAAATTTAGGATTTCTCAATGTTGGCAACTTCGGGATACAAATTCTTATATGATTGTTTTTGGGACAAACCAAGAACATAATTTGGTTAAATAATTAATTTCTGAGTAGTTAAAAAAACTCTTAAGAACCAATTGTATTAGAGAAAAACTGACAAAGTTTTTAAAGTTAGTGTTATTACAACGCCCAATCGACTTCCCAGACACTCTTGCGTTCATGATAGAAAGTGAAATATCACAATGATCCAATACCTAAAAGCCCATCCAATATCAATTATCTCATTAGCAAAAGCTACCGTGTATGTATAACTTTAATGTGAAGTAGTTTCCCTTCATTTATAAGTGTAAATCAGTTCGGTAAGAATTGGAAATAGCTGTTGAAGTATGAGAGAGTAGAGAATATGAGGAAAAAAATCTCCACAGAGAGAGAGAGAGAGAGAGAGAGAGAGAGAGAGAGAGAGAGAGAGAGAGAGAGAGAGAGAGAGAGAGAGAGCCATCAGGATCAGAGATCATGAAGCTTTCTGGGGACTTACCCACAAAATCACTTGAGTTCCATCCAAGCAACATGCGGATCCAAATTAAGCTGGCCAGGACCCTGCACGAGAGAGAGAGAGAGAGAGAGAGAGAGAGAGAGAGAGAGAGAGAGAGAGAGAGAGAGAGAGAGAGAGAGAGAGAGAGAGAGAGAGAGAGAGAGAGAGAGAGAGAGAGAACATGGGTATTAGAACAGCTGACACAACAACACAACTAATAAAAAGTGAAAAAACCCTGAATTCAAGCTTTGCTTGCAGAGACGATCCTAACACATGAAAACCAAACAAGAAACACCCGAATTCTGCAAGAACGCACGCACGAGCTCAGAGAGAGAGAGAGAGAGAGAGAGAGAGAGAGAGAGAGAGAGAGAGAATTACCCTTGCGTTGGTGAGTGGAGAGATGAGAGAGAGTGTCTCCGTATGGAAATTCGAGGGTTTCTCGCAAGTCCTCAGCATTTCAAATATTCCCTGAGCTAGCTAGACACTTTAAATATGTGCAAATCACATTCGCCAGATAAATTATTAATGGACGAAGACTATTGTCGGAAAGCACCGCACACCCCCCGCCCCCTCTCTCTCTCTCTCCATCCACCCTTCAAGTTTGACAATTACATTTACAACCACAAACCCTCTCCTCCATCTATCTGCTGGTGTGTCTGTGCGAGACAGTCGAAACTCATGTGACTTTTGAACCCTTTCTCGTTCTTATTCCTCTTTTGACAGCTCGCCCTCTACCTCCCTATCCTTCTCTCTCTCTCTCTCTCTCTCTCTCTCTCTCTCTCTGCCTACCCATCCGTGATGATCTTTATTGGTTGACTCTTTGCATGGGACTGCTCTCCTCTTTGTTCCTTCTCACCTTATTTTAAAAACTGAGGGAATCAAGTTTAATTTTAGTAGCACCAAGTTAAAAAGATGAGAATCATGCACACATGCAACGATCCTTAAAGAACTGCATGCACCCTCGGATACCGAGCTTCGTCCGACCTACATTTCTACTCATAATCTCTTCTTTTTTCTCTCTTTCATATCCGACAATCTTCTCTATTATTTTATTGCTTGTTCTTGTAATTAAATTATAAGTTTACCGTAAAATGAGGTGCCCGTTTTGTTGGTTAGCCAAACATACAAACTACGAAATATAAAAGCTAGGAACAATGTCCTATATATAGGATTATGATAATATGAAAAGATAGTGCAAAATGAAGGGAATTTATATGCCTTCAAAATGGGAGACACGGATGGTAGCGAATCGCTTTGTGACCGGCCTTGCAATGAATCTCCTAAAAGGGAGGTCCATTCATCCGTCAACCACCACAAGTGCTTTACCAATTAAAATCCTTAAATGCATCTTCAGGAAGAATTCGATGTTCCATTGAAAGGATTCAGAGCCAGTTTACATAGAAATCCATTTGTGGAGTAAGCTTCATTTAAGATTTTTTAATAAGCAATTGTGGAACCTTTGGGGGAAAACGTCTTTATAGCAATCAAGAAGATGTATGTTTGTTGTAATCCATGATGTATATTGGCCCTAACAAAAAAGGTGTTTTTTGGCTTCCCGGTCTAGATAGTTTTCCCCGAAAAACGACTATTATAAAATACGCCTTCACATAATCGATACTATTTTGTAAGTCAATATGTTCATACCCCGGCAAATGAAACAATAGATTTCAAATTAGGATGAAATCACAAACCTAAGTGGATCATTTCCCACGTTTCAATTAATCCACCATCATGCAGCTATCTGCGAGAAGTTCAGGATTCATTCACTACCAACAACCACCTACCTCTGTAATCCCACAATCAGTTCTCGACGATCTGTTCTTGTGATTCGGCCAGCACGTAGCACGTGCAAAATCTAGTTTTGAGAAATGAACTTGTTACTTTCGCTGGTTATGGTAAACCTTTAGTTTAGCAATGGCAGTTCGCATGCCATTATCAAACCTCGTGGCATCTCTTCAAATTATTAGATGGCCCTTTCATGACCAGCTTTAAATTCTAATGAGCTACATAGCTAACTCGAGGGAGCAGATATCTTTTATTTTTCTCCTTTTTCTTCCATAATTGATTCATTAATAAAACATCCGAAGTAGTATGTAAGATTTATCAGGTTAGGTAAACCCCTACCAAACATAGTATTAAATTTGGACGAAGCATTGGTACTGAGATTCTTTTGGAAATTCTTGATGAATGTTAGATGACCCCTATTATTCCAACTTGAGAACAAACTCAACGTACGTAAGCATCTTGCCACAATGATTTAACTCCACCAAGTTCTTGCTGCTAGGAGGAGACTAATTAAGGCCAAGGAATCTTATGTTAGTGTTATACAGTCATACCTAAAAAGAATTTCTTGTTGCCCCCTAAAACACTCCTCCTTTTTCTTCCACCATCTCCGGATACAACCCAACAAAAATTTTCGATTTCTTCCTAGCAATAGCTACTCTTGGTTGAAGATGGGTGGAATTATTGAAGTGCATTAATAGTTTCATTCAGCTAATTGCAATTGCAGAAACACAAACACATAACATCGGGTGTTCTATTCGATTCTCGTTTCTCGCTTCATTGTTTTTCATTTTTTCTATTTTAAAGGGGAGCTCCCCTTTTTGATTGATGATTTGCAATCATTCATCTATCTACTCATTTCGGGTTTACATGTTTCCACTCATTAATTTATTAGCTTTTGTGTGAAGGGCACATCACGTGTTAAATTGTCGATTAAGCTTTTGGAGTGCGCGATTCATGTCTTACCTCTTCACCTTTATAACTGATGTTCCTTTTCAAATGATGCGGTACAAAAACAATGGGCAATACGGTTAGAACAGTGAAAAGGTGGAAAGTGGAAGAGAGTGCTTGAAGATGAAATTTTTAATCCCACAAGTTACAAATTCTTTGGGGGGTTTTGTCCACTTTGACTATCCTATTTTCCTAGCTTCCAAGGATTTACTTTCCAAGGCATTTCAGACAGAATTTGAATACTTTGTCCCCATGCATGAAAGGCCAATCTTTTTTCTCTCTTTGGGAAGAGAAGCAGTCCCCACGAGGAATCATATTCAAGGATTAGGTTTAGCTACAAGACACTCAAAATTGACTAGAAATTTGTGACCTCCGTATTAATATATGTCAACAAAAAGTCTTTTGAGAGAGAGAGAGAGACAGAGAGATTCTAGCGAGGAGGTGAAGACAAATATTCGAAGGATTAAGGTAATGATTTGGATGGGGAAGAGTACGAGAGAGAGAGAGAGAGAGAGAGAGAGAGAGAGAGAAAAGGAAATGTATGGGGACTTGTGTAGTTAAGAAAATAAGAAAACTAATAATGATGGTACGTACCATTATAATATCTTGCATGTTCTGTCTTTACTTGTGCATGGGGTTGACATTTTCACAAATCCATGACGTTGCACCGGCGACAAAGAATCTTTCTCAGAATTAGTCCTCTTGCTGTATATCAAGGCCGGACAGTGAAGTCTTACCATAGTCTGAATTATATAATTGCATCATCCACTCTACATTCATCTACAATTACTATAGACAATGGGGTTCTTCAAACATATAATTTTGATCAGAAACCCAGGGCCAGCAAGAATCCATTGGTCCTGCCCTGCGACTGTTGCGATCTCCATGTGCATCATCTATACTGTGGTTAGCAACTTTGTGAAGTTCACCGATGCGCTTGAAAAGAAACAAGTTGCAATTGAAGCTGTTTAAGTATCTCGAAGTTAACATCAATTTAGGAAATAGGGATTACTTTAAGTTAATGAATCTAAATAAACGTTCCATTGGTATACGGATAGTTCAAGTTCTAAGCAAGAACATTTAATTTATTGAAAAGGAGACGAAGGAGCTATCTCTGTCTTGTTTTTTTACTTGGCAAGCAGGTTATAAAACATCTTGTTCATATAAAGACTTTAGCATGAAGTAAAGAGAAGCTAAACCCGTAAATTGATCTCAATTCACTCCTAAACAGACATCCTCAGTTTACCTCCTAGAAGCAGCGGGCACACCGGGCAATAGATGATCTAAGGTTCATAATTGTGACCCATCTCCACAGAGAGATCTTGATGCATGCTGACAAAAGTGCGTCGCTGGGGTTTGATGGTCCACGGCGTTGATGTCAGCAGCGGTTAGAGGCGGAGGCCAAGCTGGCGACGGTGGCATCGTGGCCGTCCTCTCTGCTTTAGGTTATCAATAGAGGACGGCGGAGGAAAAACAGAAGCAAAACCACAAATACACAGGATAAAAGAACCCAGATAAAGCCCAGGCTTTGAAAGTTACTAGTGCTGATGTGACATCCTCTTGAGTTTGGGTAAAGTGATTGGATTGGACTAACCATAAATTGAGAGGACTGTGGTCCAACCAAATCAATGAACGTCTTTCTTATTCTTTTTTTTTTTTTTGGAGCTTTCTTTCTTATTCAATTGTAGAACTTTTGCAGAATTATATTGCCTCAGAGAGAACAAAAAAATTGTTGCAAGTTTCCTTGAGAGCTACCCAAGTAGGATCGTGGGTTCTACATGATTGAACCCTTTAAGTTAAACAAAAAGATAGCAAGGCGGTAGTAGGTTTCCTCATGCAGACTAGCGCACACATGCTCTCCTCAAGTTCATTACACGCCAAGCTAGATCTTTGAAGGAATACGTGTGAATGTATGCAAATCTAAACTAATTAATTAAGAGAATGCCATTTGTCCAAGATTTCTTCACAACGCTTTCACGCAATGCAGCAGGAGCTTTCACACATGGAATATTCACAGCACAAGGGTTTGAAATCAGTCAAAAACTTACTACTCCACGTCAAAGAAACTGGAATTATGCGTAGGGAGTTTTTGGGGGGGCCCTATCGAGCGCAGATATTCCTCACAAGGTGGTGGGGGTTGCTCAATCGCTTTCGATTGCTTCAGATGCAGAAATTGTTGTTGGTGAATTCCACTGTGTTATGCAAATGATTAGGCGTCCTTTGCTAATTCTTATGATTAGAACATTATAAAAATGGGAGTAGGAGATCGACATGTACACCGTCTTCCACGCACGCAAATGAAACTCTGCAGAGGGGGCACATGCTTTTCTTTTCACTTGATCGCGTAGTGTTGCCAGATGTGTGACGTACGTGAGCAGTTTGATTAAGGAGCGTTTTATCATAGGAAAAGATCAGATTTAAGGACGTGTAATTTGGGACTAAAGAACTGTGTTGACTCGTTCCAATGAGGCACATGATTAGATTGTTACATATGTCTCAGTTTAGGAACAAATACGGGATTGACCCTTCCATCAACTTTTGTGATGACATACAATTACGATTTTTCCAGATCTATCGATGTTTATGTAACTATTTTGCTTACATGAAAATCAATGGCTCGTATGCATTGAATATAGTCAAGTGTAGGAACAAGCTTTGTTTTATGCTGGGTACTAGCAATGGCAGATATCGGGAAAGGTACAAAAAAAAAAGGTCATAAAACTATTGCATTAATACCAATTCTATGTAAACCTTTCAATTTAATCAAT